GGAGCCCTCCGGGCTGGAGCCGCTTCCAGCCTGCGGTTACATCGCGAGCGGAGGGTGCATATATCTCTGTATATGTGGCTTATCTTATCTTGCTCTTATCCTAGGTATCGACCTTTTTTTTTATTTATTTGTAATTTTCGCCATTGTGGGATTCGCCCCAAGAGAAGGCTGTTTATTCATCCATCTCAGTTATTTTTCTTGTGTCATTCCCCTTGCCATCCTGCCGAGGAGAGGGCAGTGCATTTTCTGTCTTGCTCTACCCCAATGCTCTCTCCAGGACCGACTCACAGTGCGGTCGGTCAGTCGCCCCGTTGGTCTTTCCTCGCTGAATGGGGGCAGCGCGTGCAGCCGTCTCTGATTTGGACCGTCCTGCTCATCTGCTGGCCCTTGTGATGTCCTTGAGCAGCCTGGAGTGCTTCATCGCTGTGCACGGGCGCAGAAGGGGCACAGCCCCTGGGTCAGAGGGGGAGGGCAGTGCCATCTCATTCCGTGTATGTGTGGGTACATCCAAGCACTGTTTGTACTCCTTGCTGTGAGCCAAGGACATAGGTGGATTTAACTCTTGTCCTGGAACAGGAGAGAGCTTGTTTTGAGACTTGTGTCTTTTGATGCAAAATGCATGGATTCAAAGGTAACTAATGCGTCAGCATGTGGCTTCCAAAAATTCCTATGATACTGGAATCAACCCGTTTTCAGCAATGCACGCCCCTTCTGCAGATGCCACCATCCCATCTGGAAATGGGAACTTCCACAGAGTGAAGGTGGCATGCACCTGAAGTATCCTGCTTCCAAGGGAATCACTGATTTCTGCCCCCCTGGATTGCATTTGGTCGAGGCCAGGACCCGCTCCCGTGTGATGGAGCGCGGGAATCCCGCACCTCGTCCGTGCGTGCGGCGCAGCAGCGTGACTAAGGCATAAAGGCACCCGGCATCGCCCGAGGGCCTCGGCGAGGATCACTCGCTCCTGGTTTCTAGGACGCTCCTTAGCTGGCCCGCCAGTAACACTGCGTACTGCTGCTTGAGATTAATACTGCGCTAGGACAACTGCAGCCCCGGTTCTGGGAAGAGGAGTCATAAACTGCCGTTTGTGTCGTTTCAGGTGCCGCCGGAGTGCTCGTGGGACACCCGTTTGATACCGTTAAGGTGGGTTGATTATGAAATACCTCGGCCTCTATGTAGGAAACTTGAAGTTATTCCAAGGAACGGGGGAGGAATTTAAATCCCCAGACACTGTAGAAGCTATGACGGAAAGCTTGGAATGAGTCTCTTGAGCTATTGTTTATAGACTTGCGGAGTCTCCAGATCTTCAGAAGTGATTTTTTTTTTTCCTTTGTGCGAGTCTAACTCAGCCCAGTAACATGACACAAGCTGGCCTAAACCACAAGCTCAGCAGTATAATAGCATCAGTTTATTTAGACACATGATCCTGCATTTAACTTGATTTTGTTCTAAGCTTGTCTCTCTGCAGCTGTTTATCACTAACTGCTAAAATGGCCTGTACCTGCACTTGTAACACAAACCTCTATTACTAAGTTGAAATATTTGCTCTTGGGGGTTTTTTGTTTGTGGTTTTCCCCCTCCCCCCAAGCTCTGCTACTAGCTCTTCAAACATTAATTTGTGACACTAGCCACTGGGTGCAAGTGTACAAATACTTGTAGCATGAAGCTTGTTTGGAGCCTTTTTCTTCCCTTTAGGAATTTTTTTAAATATTTTTTTTAACTTTCCAAGTCAAAACCTGAGTTTATTCTGACAATGCTGTAGCAGTATGCATTATGCATGGTTATACTAAGAGTAGCTACATTCTTCAAAGAGAAGATTTTTTTTCTGGAAAGATTAAGGTCTTATGGAAGGCCCTTCAACCAGGATCCCTAGTGTTCAAGCCCGTTTTTCAAAATGGGTTGATGACTTGAGTCACTTTTTGGCAGTCTTCTCCAAAGTCTCTCCCTGGAAGAACAGAATAGGGACTCCAGGATATTCACTACTAAGTTAATACACCAGATCACTTGACTGCAGCAGACAGCAATGCCACTTGCCATAGCTATATTTGGAAGAGGGCCCTGCCCTGCTGCATTCAGCTGTGCAAAGGGCTGGTGGTATTACAGAAGTCATCCCCATATTGTATATTCTAGCCACATGGTTAAATCAATGCAGAAATATCCATCAGCTAGGAAATGTAGTTCTTGTCTGTCACATGCAAGCTGTTCTAAAAGTAAATACTGCATATATGTTTCTCACCCTATGAGAAATTTAAGTTCTAGTAAATATTCTTAGAGATTCTGTTATCCAGACTTGCACTTCTTAAGACAATACAGAAAAGTCTTTTCCTCACTCTTT